GCAGTGCGTCGTTTATTCGCAACCCAGTATAGACAAAAGATCGATCCGTCATCAGCACCGTGCGCCACCGACGGCGTTGTGCCGTTTTACGACCGAACATCAATTCTTCTTGGCAAAACATAATTAACTGAACTTAAACCTGATATACTGAACAAGATAACATGATATACTTGAATGATTTGAGCTAAACATATTGAACACATATGCACGGCCCGTGGTGCGCTATATGAGCAACCACGTCCTCTCGGCCGAACACCGCATAACACGAATATTTTTCCGAACATCATAAGCTGAAATACTAGGACATAACATGAAAATACTGACTTCATGACTATTGTTCAGAAGAATATAAATTTTAAGCATAACATGCCCTATGCGAACCTCACGCACGACGAACACGAACACGGCTAAAAATACCGTCTTGGACTCAAGTTATGATCAAAGTTAAACTTGATACTATTAATCACAACAGGTTGAGAGTTAAACTACCTCTCCGCTGATCGAAGGTTTCCGCTAGTTGCGGCGTTCGCGTGCGTGCCAACTCTCTGGGCGGTGCGGTGCGGTGCGGCTTGCCGTGCGCCTCGCGTGTTGCGTGCGATAGCTTGGACGTGCGATAGCTTGCGGACCTATACTAAGCTTAAGAATACCCCTTTTCTCACAACTATCTCACACTTATATGAAGGGTGAATATTAAATATAGAAGAGGAAGAAAAATGGAGCAAAATATCCAACTCTTCCCTTTTATACCAAAACGGCCGAAAGTGCAATATGGAGGTGAAGGATGAGATTATCTTGGCTAATGACACTTGGAGTGAATATAAACCCACTTAGGTGACTAAGCACCAAATAAATTCTCATAGTGCCATGTTAAACTCTCTTAAGAATGAAGGAAAAAGTTGGATAAAATCCATACATTTCTCACTTAAAAATGCACGGCATTTTATTTGATCACAACCTAATTCATACGACTTTAATAATGCTAATTGTGATCAATGTTAAACCTTGGATTAATTATTAATTAATCCCTCAATTATGTTTAATTATTTAATTAAACATAATGCTTAATTACCAAAATTATTCCGAACGTAAACGGTACGTCGAAAATAATTTTCGGTAATTTCGACTGAACTGACTGAAAATAATTAATTCCAAAAATTAATATCGGAACTAAAAACATAATTTGTACTGATAAACTGACGGGATATTACAATCCTCCCTCCTTACAAAATTTCCGTCCTCGGAAATTCAAAACATAGCTGAATATACATGAACTATGTACATATGAATAAGAAAATATGTACATCAAAACTGAAAATCTGGAAAACGAGCGCGAATATCGG